GCTTTACAGAACTCATCCGAAAACCCATCTGGGCCTGAACTCGAATTCAACTTAGAATTTTTTAATCACTTCTAGTATTTCCTCATTTGATATGGGACAATCTAAAGCAGTTTTATGTATATCTGAAATTGTTGTGATTAATTTGTGTTTTTTTAAAAAAACTTCAGTACTTTTCCCCTGTACCACAGCGTCTTTATACAATTGTTTATGAAATTGCAACATTATTTGAGCAGTGGTGGCAGTCATGATGACTTTTTCCTGAAGAGTTCTCTAGTTCTTAGATACATCTATAGCTAGCTTTTTTTGCATTACACTCTATGCCAGTAATTTAGGATTTTTAGCAGAGTGCGCCCAAAATTTTTGTTTTATATAGATCAAATCCTTCTGAATTTTAGTAATTTCAAGGGAGTCTAAAATTTTACATGTAGCACAGAGTTTTTTATAAACCTTTTTATTGTAAGTATTTTTATGTTTTATTTCCAATTGATGAACATCATTTAATAAAGCTTTAACCTTTTCGATTTTTCCTCTTTTCAGATAAGAGGATAAAGAAATCAGGCAACTGCAGAGCACAACTTTAAGTGCTTCCCACAAAGTTATTGGGGGTACCTCGCCATTATCATAGTCTCTCAAATACGACTGCATTTTTTCAAGATTTCTTCCTTCACATCCTCTCGCAATAAAATAAATTTATTAAAATGCCAATTAGTTTGTGTTTTCATTCTGTCTGCAATACCTACTGTACATATGACTGGAGAATGGTCTGTCCATTGTTTTATCCCAATCTCAGAGGTGATAATTCTATCTACTGCAGAAGACACTAACAAATAATCAATTATAGTATGATCTGAGAATCTATGAAAAAATAGGTGTAATCCTTCTCATTTTGATGAGTAAATTTCCAGAGGTCACAAAGGTGAAGTTTAACAAGTAAATCATGCAACTCTGTTTTGTTTTTTTGTCTTTTCCCCCTCTTATTGCCATTACAGGGTCTGTATCTGTCTAACTGATGGTCCACTATATAATTTAAATCCTCTCCCAACAAAACACCACCTTCTTGAAATGATTGTAAAGTACTCAAAACCAATTCAAGAAAAAGTATTTGCCCTGAGTTAGGGGCATATATGGAACCCAATGTGGACATACTACCCTCCAGAGAGCCTTTCAAAAATATAAATCTACCTTTTTGATCTAAAAGGGAGTATTTTAAATCAAACCTCACTGCTTTTGAAATCAAAATTGCTACTCCCCTTACCTTGGTTGAGCCCAGTGCTTGATACCAGGCTGATTTTAATGCTGGATTATAAGAGTTCTTCAAATGCAAGTCTTGTATAAAAAGAATATCTGGTTTATACCTCAGAATATTCGATGTCATATGTTTTTTCTTAATATTATTGTTCAAACCCTTTGTTTATACTTGGGTTTGACTGCCCGAGTACAATGGGAATTTAATTTTGTTTTCCAATAAATCCATTTAATTTGGAAAAGGGGTTTCGTCAGGGATGCTCATTGGCACCTTTCTTGTTTAATTTATTTTTAAACAATGTAGCATCAATTTTTGATGATTACTGCCATCCACCAAAATTAGCTCAGATTGCTGTACCTATGCTCTATGCGGATGATGCCGTGATCTTGTCCCGAACCAGGGTCAGACTAAAAAGGGCCGTGCAATCTTTCTCCAATTATTGTTGTCAAGAAAGCCTGTTGATCAACTACCCAAAATCTAAGATCCATTTTCACCAAGTTTGGAAAATGGAACCTGTCTCAATGGTCTACCAATGGTTCCAATATGGAGCAAGTCAAGGCCTTCTCCTATCTGGGTATTCTGTTTTTGGCAGATCTATCTTGGACTTCCCAATTTGGAACAACGCAATTTAAAGAAGTAGAAGAGAAGAGATTGGATTTATACCCCACCCTTCGCTTGGAGTCTCAGAGCAGCTTACAATCTCCTTTCCCTTCCCCTCCCCACAACAGACACCCTCTGTGAGGTAGGTGGGGCTGAGAGATCTCTGATAGAAATTGCTTTTTTCACGGACAGCTCTGACAGAACTATGGCTTGCCCAAGTGCAGCTGCAAGTGGAGAAGTGGGGAATCAAACCCGGTTCTCCCACATTAGAGTCTGTATACTTAATCACTACACCAAACTGGTAAAGCGAAACCTTGTGCAAGTGCCTTAAATAGGTTCTTCCACAATAAAGGGGGGGATATATTACTGGAGCGGTGCAAGCCTTTAATTTGAAAGTGGCTCCCCTCATTCTTTACAGTTCAGCTATTTGCATTAAAGCTATCTCTGATAATATCAATCAACCACTAACCCAATTCTTAAGGAAAATATTGAATATTCTCTGCTGCATGTCAAACATTGTATTATGGGCAGAATTTGGACAGATATCCTTGGAAGCAAGAGTATGGCTATTTGCCTTCAAACTGAGATTAAAACAGCTCTGTGCTGAGGATGGTTTGTTAGCCGCTTTAAATCAAGATACCCACAAATCACCTTGGATAAAAGTTTAGGATGAGAAATTGATGAAAGCTGGAATGTCAATTGATGATATTTTTAAGATGGGCAGAACCAAAGCATTTTCTTTGATCAAAAAGTGAGTCTTGGAAATCAACCATAGTGGTTTGATTCTGAGAGTCCACAGAGTATGCTCACCCCCAGGGGTCATTTCGTAGAAAAAGAGCTAGGGGGACTCATTAGCATAACTCATTAGCATATGCCACACCCCCTGACATCACCGGAAGTGTGTCATAAGGCCACGCCCCCTGACATCACTGGGGTTCCCATTCCTAAGGTGGAGGCAGGGGATCTCCCCCTTTCATGGGCTCCTGCTTGCCACCTGCCAGCTGGTTGGCAAGAGGAAAATCTCCCCACCCCCAAAACTGCACAATGCACTGACGTCACTCGGAAGTGACATCAGTGTGTCAGAGATGTCAGGAGATGGCGTACTTTTTGGGCAACACTCTATGGTTTGAGGCCATTTTTACCATAGAGTTTGCCCCAAAAGCAGAGCATTGCACCCCGTCATGGACACACTGATGTCACTTCTGGGTGACATCAGTGCATCACGTGACCCCCCACCCCACCCCTGGAATGCCCCCCAAATCCCCCCACCAGCACAACAAGGGGACCTGGCAACCCTACATTCTACCATTTCATTGGAGAAGGTCCTTCAAAAGAACCCAGCAGATCTTTAGTGTTGGTGTTTTTAAAATATTTTTTACTTTCCTCTTTTCTACCAAAGGTCTACAAACAATGCAGTGAATTAAAGCCACTGCCCAGTATATGAGAAGACTTTCTGGTCCAGCCTCTTTCACCCTCTTTCTCTGCGTTGGCAATGCTCGTTTGGGAATGGCTTCCCCAGCTCCAAAGGAGCAGCTGGCTAGCCCCTGCAGGCAGACCAGGCAGAGACCGCAGGACAAGGCTGGAAGGATCCAGCCAAGTGAGTCGAGCTGCCACTTCCAGATTGTTGTTTTTTAAAAGTGGGGAAAGGCAGGGAGAGCTGAGAGCGGAGGGCAGACCTGGCCAAGTTTCTCCAGGCTGAGGTGTGGGTGTGTTTTTTTAAAAGGTGGGGAAGCTGGGGAGGGCGGACGGAGGAAGCGAG